AGTAAAAAGACTCTGTGCAGGAATAAGCAACAAGGCTGGAGCTTCGTGCTCTAGGGAGAGAAAAGAGATAAACCAGGCACGCAGCGGACACTGGTACAGGGCTTTGTGGTCTGAGATAAGGATGTCAGGGTTTATTCCTTGTGATAGAGAACCACTGGAGACTTTAAGTAGGGAGTAACGACCTAATGCTAAAAGTAGATGAGAGATGATGCTTGGACTGGGCAGTCGTGGTGGAGATGGGAAAAAATGGATAGAATGGCCCACTGCCTTTTCAGATCTTTCTCCGAGGCCTTCCTACCTAACTTAACTGGGTAGTAGTTCCTTTGTGATTGGGTGCACAGTACCAAGCTTCTTCTATAATAGCTCAGTGGTTCTTAGATAGAGCTGACAACAGAATCAGCTGGATTGAGTAGGTCTGATTCCATACGTCTGATTTGGTAAGGCCCAGGAATTTACATTTCTAGTCAGTTCCCAGGATAATGCTGATGCTGTTGGTCTGGGTCCCAACCTCAAAGGACCACTATTCCAGCTGACTTGCCCTTGCTTGTTAATGTACTGCTTTCTGAGTGGTCCACACAGCACCACAACCTGCATCAAATAAAGTTTCTGCTCCCCTGCCAGGTTGTAAATATGCCCCAATTTCTTTAAAGAAATATCCGTCGCTCAAAACTCACAAACCTGGTCCTTCCACTTACTTATATTCCACGTAAAGTGCATCTGGTACAACCAGTAACATCTAATTATGTGTAGATCTTTGAACTACTTAAGTCTAAATTATGTTATTTTGACTGCGGTTTCCTCTAGACATGGGAACTTTAAAACATATCTCAGGCACAGTGTTTTGCACATAGACTTGATTGAAGTTTATTTTTAAACAGAGAGAATGTATAGGAAGCAAGAATTTAAAGGGGAACAGAGGGGCATTGAAACTGAAGGGTGAAATGGCACCTGGATAACCATATGTTGTGTCAGGCATAGAGTTTTATCAACTTTTTTCACAGTGAAGAGTTAATCTGTGTGTTTTGATTTAGTAGGTGTTTCATTTTAAATCTCAGAATCCATATTGTAGTGTGGAGTTTTTACCCTAAAACACTTCACTTTCACATTTATAGTCCCTGAAATGTAAAGCCATGAGACCTGGATGCTGTTCTTGTTTCCTCTGTTCACTTGGGGAACAGTATGGGACACAGGACAGAGGAAGACGAGAAAAAAAAATCATCATAGAAATGGAGGTGCTCCTTAATGAAGAGCATCCAGCTCCTCGGGGAAGATTATACATGTAGACACTTTTCTGTGCCCCAACTGGAGGAGGAAAGGCTCTTCCCCTGGTAGGATCTAGTCATTGGCTTGCTTTCTTCCCAAATCATGGCATGGAGCACATGTCTCTGTGGGTCTCTGGGGAGCACAGTGTGATCTAGCAAAGAGGACAGAGTTTGAAGTCAGATAAAAGTGGGCCTTTTTGTGCCTCAGAATCCTGGAATCCTGGTGTGTAAACTGGAAATGGTAATACCCACCTCACATGGTCACTGTGAGGATTAAATGAGATGCTATGTACAAGCACATGTTAGGTACTAAAATATTGTTTTTCTTTCTCCATGACATCCAAAATGCAGAGGAATCACTCAATCTAGGAAAGTCAGACAAACTCCATGGAGGATAAGAATCCAGTCACTGCACTGGAACAGAGATTAGGAGAACAGGGTATCTTTATCTCACAAGACAATCAATGACATATCTAATTTGATCACTGTGGAGCAACACAAACTGGCTCCAAATATGGTGATCAATCAATTAGCTGTCCAAGTTTGCCTGGGACTAGGAGGTCTCCTGAGACTTGGGACTTACAGTGCTAAAACCAGGAGAGTCCTAGGCAAACCAGGACCATTGGTCACCCTGCCTACCCAGCAACAGATTATCCAGAATTGTGGACTGTCCTTTACCTCAGTGGGAACCATTTCCCCAGACATACAACACAAAGTTCAGATGTGATTTTTTTTATGCCCTTAGGCTATATTTATCTTTCTCCTTCTCTCTACTGTCCAGCTTTTCCAAAGAGTGGTCTCTGCTCACTGTCTTTCTGTTCAGCACATGTCCTCGCTCAAAGTCACTTATCTGGTGTAGCTCCAGAGCCTGGCAGAGATCTTTAAATAGCAGCATTAAAAAAAGAAAAGAAAAGAAAGAAAGCATCTCTGTTGCCTGCAGGCATTATTATTTTTCCTCTTAAAGGGGTATTTTCAAATAACTTCAAAGAGCTGGAGAGCAATCAAGATCCACAATAAATGTTCCCAGTTTCAATAACACTGTTCCTAAGAACCATACTTTATAATGCTTAAGAGTAAGAAATGAATGGGCTGAAAGTTCACCACCACTGTCGCTCCATCCAGACACATCCGGCTGCTAGAGCAGAGTTCTCATTACACACATGGACCACAGAACTAGCGGGGCCTGCTTTTTGCTTCCCAGGAGATGGGCTCAACTTGGTGACAGAACCAGGCAGGCAAATATGAAGTAGGACATTCCTGGTGCCAGTGCTTTTTTTCACACAGCTTTATTCCATGTTGTGATCTGCCTCTTCTTTATCACGTAAAAACCAGCAGTGGACTCTGATTGGCCAGACTCCATATTTATTGGTAACTATCTTTTATGAATAGAAAGCAGATGGTCACATTCTCCCAGCCAGGGCACAGGCCCTGCCAACACTGGAGTGTGTGCTTAATAGCTTTCCCCTCCCCTCCAAGCAAACACCACATTTTGAAAGGCCAAGTGTCCTGCAGCACAGCTGAAATGCCACATTTGCTGTTGCAAGAGTGTCACCATTGTTCTTTTTTTTTTAAAGATTTTTATTGGGAAATTGGGGGGATGGGAACAGTGCTGAGGAATTGGGAGAAGGGGAACAGACAAGTTGCTGTTGTTTTATTCTTCAGTCTAGTTGTGGAGGACGTTGCTTCAATGGCCCAAGTTGGCACCATCATTGCGCTCTTCCCAGGCGAGGCAGATCAGTCACAGGCTTTTGGACGGTTGCTCACTGCGGCTGCTGACCGCTCACGCTGGCTGTTGGCTACATACGGTAGCCCATGGCAACCCACTGCCACAGGGGCTGCAGCCTACGCCATCGCCGGCCACTCACGGCAGCCCAGCTCCAGGTCGAGTTGTTGTTCAGCATCTTACCTGTGGAGGGCAGTGTCACTGGCCCTCATATGTGGGATCCGAACCGGGGCCCTCTGGCGTCCCAAGCCAGTTCTTAACCATCGCGCCACTCGGCTGGCCCACTGTTGTTCTTAATAAACCTGATGGCATCATTCAAGGCTATCTCTCACCCTTTCCTTTACATCTGATCACATAGTGTTGACTCTCTTAGCTCGTGGGTCTCTATTCTCTGACTCTACTTCTTCCTAACATCCCCAAAGTGGTCTTACTTAGCTATGAACTTCATGGCTCCGATTTCTATTCTACATTCTTACTTCCCCAGTTATGGCTCCCTCTCTCACTTTTAAGTGGATAATTCTCAAATCTGCTTCTCTCCAGTCTAACCCTTCAGTTTCCCATACACGCGATCTGTCATCACCTCAAGCAACTTGTATTAAACTTGCTGGAGACATCTTTCTTTCCGAAACAATTTCCTCTTCAGATTTCTATTTTTCTCAGAATTATACCCAATATTCTCTCTTTTTGGTTCAAAATCTTGGCATCAACTTTGATTCCCCTTCTTTCCCCATCTCCAGCCAGAAACAAAAATGTTAGTTGATTTTCCCTTGTATTGTCTCCTGTCTCATCTTGCTTATTTCTACTGCCATCAGTCTTACTCATCCAAGACTCCATCACATTCTTTACATAGCAGTTTCTGACTCTAGGTCCTCCACGACTTCTAGTTGACACCCCAGTTACAATGTTAAATGGCTCCTTATTGAGTACCAAATAATTCCAGATGCCTTAGCCTAATACTTATGAATTTCCACAAGTCCACAATGGACTTTTTTCCCACAGAAGTGATCTGGAGTAAAGCAAGAGTCTTCCTAGCGAACATGTATAGATGACTTCATACAAGACAAGTACTGTTCTAAGAGTTTCAGGTATTATATTTAACGCATTTGCTCCTCACAACAGCGCTGAGATAGGTGCTATTATTATCCTCCGTTTACCGATGGGGAAACTGATGAGCAAAGAGGTTAACTAACTTTCCTAAAGTCTCACGACTTCTGACTTGTAGCGCCAGGGTGGAATCCCCTGCTTTCTACCTTTTAACCACTACACTGCACCATCACTCACAAAACTCTGCACCCCCCCCCCACTCCCAGTTTCTCTGGGAAAATCAGATCTGGCAGTACATTCCCACATGGACCAGCTGACCAAAGCCAAGAAGCTGTGTTCCCCTGAAGGCAGGGCATCATCTCTTCTGCTTGCCAGGGTCTCCACTCAGCCTGCTTCTGGAGCCTTGAAGGCTTGACCCCTGTTTTAGCCACAGCACATCTGAAGACCCAGAATAAATGACACATGATAGATATTTCACAGACACTTATACACTGCCCCATACTGAGCTGGATTTCAGCATGTCCTCTAAGTGGGCATGAAGCCCCAATGGGAGAAAAGGCTAAAAGGTTAACTTGGACAAGATGTGTATTGCGGGGGGGGAGGGAGAGGGGTGGAATGTCAGGATAACTGTTGGCAGATAATGGAGGAGAAAAGTTACAAGAAGCATATGTTACACATCCCGTGTTGGTAAGATGTCCCATCAAAGGGCAGTGTGAGTTAGTAAAAAGAGCATGGATAGCATGGCCTGGGTTGGGTCCTGATTCCATCACTTAGCTGCTGTATAACCTTGGACAGGTTATCTAACTTCCCTAGTTTCCATTTCCTTGACTATAAAACAGGGGCAGTGACACCCCCAGGGTGGTGGAAGGAATTAAATGAGAGTGTATGTGAATTCTCTTTTTGGCCCTGTAGGTAACCAAAATACTTTTCTTACTAATAATTCATATTCGTATTTTCATATTTTCCCCTAGCATTACAAAGCAAGAAGAAACTAGGACGCTATGGTAAGTACCAGGTGCTTATTGGATCTTCACTTTTCAGGGGCCCAGGTCTGGCTTCATTTAGCCTGTAGTCCAAGCGGCTGGCGGAGTTGTCCTTACGGTTTGTTGCTATTTATTGGCTTACTGCCAAACCAGCGATGCTAGAGCAGAACCTAGTAGCATTTGACACGGAGTAGGGGGAAAGCAGAGAGCTGAGATTTGTGAGCAAAGATTTTTAGTAAAATGTTAAAAAAGGAAAAAGTGCAGCAATAACCTAAATGGCTAACAATTCCTTCATTCGGCAAATATTATCGAGTACCTACAATGGTCCAGGCCCAGTGACAGGTGCCTAGGGGATGCAGATATGAACAAAATCAGACAGGGCCCCTGTCCTCCCAGCACGCCCCCTGGTGGTAACTGGTTAAATGAATGAGCACTTTCTCATGCTGGAATGTTACTCCGCCGTTATGAAGAAAGTTTGTAGAGAATAATGAATAAAACAGCCTTGCTCATGTTACAATAGTAAGTTAAAAAGCTGGATGCAAAACTGTATTATATAATATTAACTGTTTAATATAAATCACCCATAATCCACAACTCAAAAATAACAATTGTCAACGTTGTACTGCATTAGATTCAGCTTTGTTTTATTCTATTCTAAACACATCCACTACATACATAGAATAAACTACTGGAAAATAAAGAAGAGAGTGTTGACAGTTGTTGTTTCTGAGTTATGGGATTATGAGTGATTTTTAAATTTTTTTCTCTATGATTTTCTATATTTTTCAAGGCTCCTATAATAAGCCTGTATAAACAGGAAATAAGTCCATTAAAACACAGTCACAGACGCACTTAGAGCTTCTCTCCTAGCAGTCATTTGTTTTCTCTTTCCCCTTGCCTTTCGTGTGTTCAGGGCAGGGCACGCAGGCCTCCACCTGGGCAGCACAGGCATTGTGAGGGATGTTTTAACCGTCACTGTCACATTCCTGTGGAGCCCAATGTCTCCTGCCTGGTGATAAACTGCCACCTGTCCTGTGGCGCTACCTTCCACATGTGCAAAGAGGCAGAGCACGAGCTCCTCTGCCCCTTAGAGCAGGTTCCATGCCTCAACTCCGAATACGGCTGCCCCCTTTCCATGTCCCGCCACAAGCTGGCCAAGCACCTGCAGGTGTGCCCCGCCAGTGTGGTCTGCTGCTCCATGGAGTGGAACCGCTGGCCGAACGTGGACTCTGAAACAATCCTTCATGAGAACATCATGAAAGAGACTCCCAGTGAGGAGTGTTTGGACACAGCCCTGGCCCTTCAGGACCAGAAGGTCCTTTTCAGATCTTTGAAAATGGCAGAGCTTTTTCCAGAAAATCGAGAGCCCACTGAGGAGGAACCTACTAGAAATGGAGAAGCCCGCTGGGAGGAACTGGGAGGCGCGGTGGGTGGAGCAGACGCCACTTTGGTACCACAGAGCTGTCTGTCGGCCACCAAGGAAGAGCTGGCAGAGCTGAGCCAAGAAGAACGTGAGGCGTTAGCCAAAACCAAAGAAGGGATGGACCTGGCCAAGTTTGGCAAGTGGGAAAATATTTTCAGCAAAGAGCATGCAGCCTCTGCTTTAACAAACTCATCGGCGAGCAGTGAGAGCAAGAACAGGAATGGCCCTGGGAAAGAACAAATTTCCAACAGCAATAACTTGGTAGTCGAGGGTGCTGCCCAAGGGAAAGAACCACAGGAAGACCAGAAGCAACAGGACTTTCATGCAGTTGTGGAAACAACGGGGCTTGCCCCTTGGCAGGATGGTGTCCTGGAAAGACTGAAAACCGCTGTGGATGCAAAGGACTATAATATGTACCTGGTGCACAATGGGAGGATGCTTATCCACTTTGGTCAGATGCCTGCTTGTACGCCTAAGGAGAGGGACTTTGTTTATGGCAACCTTGAAGCTCAGGAAGTGAAGACTGTTTATACCTTCAAAGTGCCTGTGAGCTACTGTGGGAAGCGGGCTCGCATTGGCGATGCCATGTTGAGTTGTAAGCCAAGTGAACACAAGGCGGTAGACACTTCAGATTTGGGGATCACTGTAGAGGACCTGCCCAAATCAGATCTCATCAAGACCACCCTCCTGTGTGCCTTGGAAAGAGAGCTCAAAGGTCATGTCATCTCTGAATCCAGGAGCATTGATGGGCTATTCATGGATTTTGCTACACAGACATACAATTTTGAGCCAGAACAGTTTTCCTCTGGGACAGTGCTGGCTGACCTAACGACTGCTAGCCCAGAGGGGCTCCATGTGGAGCTCCACAGTGAGTGTGTGACCAGGAGACACAACAAGAGCAGCTCTGCCTTCACTTTTACTTGCAACAAATTCTTCAGGAGGGATGAATTCCCCTTGCATTTCAAGAATGTCCACACAGACATTCAGTCATGTCTTAATGGCTGGTTCCAGCACCGATGCCCCCTTGCCTACCTGGGATGTACATTTATTCAAAGCCATTTCCGTCCCCCAGGGCAAAAGGCAAAAGTGATCTACAGTCAGGAGCTCAACACCTTTGCCATCAAGCCGGAGGTTGCTTCTGAGCTCAGTGAGAGAAGGAAAAACAACCATTTCTCAGGCCATGGAGGGAAAAGCCAGAATTCTCTAACCAGCCTGCCCTTGGAGGTTTTGCAGTACATTGCTGGGTTCTTGGACAGCATCAGCCTGTCCCAGCTTTCCCAGGTGTCCGTGCTGATGCGGAATATCTGTGCCACTTTGTTACAAGAGAGAGGGATGGTCCTCCTGCAATGGAAGAAGAAGAGGTATTCCCATGGCGGCACTGCCTGGAGAGTCCACAGAGAGGCAAGTAAACACTCATTCATTTATTCCTTCATTCAACAAATATGTATTAAGAGCCTTTTATATGCCAAACACTGTATGTACTAGGTACTGGGATTGTATTAGGTTACTGGGAATAAGACATAATTCCTGAGCTCAAGGAAGACAGACCTATAAATATATAAATGGCAATACAGATTGTAGTACCTATTTATCTCTACATATGTCCCGGATAGTTGATGTTTGCTCACACGATCCATTTTCCAACCTTCTTCGCCAACATCTGTCTCCCAAGAGGCTGATCTCTACAGACTGCCCTGACCGTCTCCCTTGGCCTCCAGCTTCCCGTTGGGCTAACCTAATGGGGGCATACCAGCAGGTGGTGGGAGAGAAGGGGAAGAGTGAGTTGACATTTCTGTTCTTCTGGCTTCCTCTTTCTGTATTTTCCCTCCATGACACTTTGCACTGGCTGTGTCCCTCCACAGAAGGTGGCTATATCAGGTGGCTCTCTCCACACAATTGCTCATTCTAGGTTCCAATGACCTCCCTCCTTCCCTTTCAGGCCTAGGGTAGTAACACTCTAGAGCAGTGCTTCTCAACCTTCCTAATGCCGCGACCCCTTAATACAGTTCCTCATGTTGTGGTGACCCCCAACCATAAAATTATTTTCGTTGCTACTCTATAACTGTAATTTTGCTACTGTTATGCATCGTCATGTAAATATCTTATTGTTTTCCGATGGTCTTAGGCGACCCCTGTGAGAGGGTCATTCGACCCCCAAAGGGGTCGTGCCCCACAGGTTGAGAACCGCTGCTCTAGATTGTTACTAGCCCAGGTACAGCACTAGAGCTTGTGACTTTCCTATGCAAATTGCCCACAATTTGTATATCATTCCTTTTTTAAATTCTCTTCAAATTACCCAATTTGAGTATGCCATCTGTTTCCTGCCTGGACTGATTGATACAGTATGCCAACAAATTCCCCTCAGTCTCATGTCAACTAATTTTTTTAAACAGTTTTTGCCTTTGTTGAAGGCATGCTGAAATTCTAAAATAAGTTGATTTCCCCTGGTTCTAATGCCTATTAAACTTTTCAAAAAACTGCAGTATAAATCAAAGAATCTCTCCCTTTGGAAAAATCTTATTCTTTTTTCCCCCAATTTATACTTGCTTAACTGTATTATAACTTCTATCACCTGTACCATACAGAAGTGAAACTCCTAATTCATTGTTCCAAGATGCCCTTAGCATTCTTTCTCATGGTAAATATGTTGGTAATATGAACCACAAATTTATGTGCCCATTTAGGTCAACAATTCCATAATCTCGCAGCTGTTTCTTCCTAATATGTGGCTATGTTGGGGGTTAGAGTTGTTTGCATCTATTTTTATTGATCATGTTTAAAATATCTGCATATTTTCCATTATTCCCTGAGCAGTTTTCAAAAAATAATTATGAGATTCTCCCTCATGTATCCATGCCTGCATCCATGTGTTAAGTAAATACTGACTGCCAACAACCACATGTTAGGGATAAACATGAATGCGACTAAGACCCTGCCCTTCGGGAATTATATAATCTAGAACTGCCTCAGCTTCCTCTGTGAAATCAGATGTAAGTAATTTACATACTAGAAATCCCATTAATTTTTGGCTCATGTTTGTCCCTGATTCAATGATTGCTGACCACTGAATATCATTTGGGAGAAACTAATTTCCTGCAGAAAGAAAGAGAATTTAGTTGGAGCTAAAGGATGCTCATATTAAAATGGCTTTTTAATGTAAAAAGGAAAATAGTTCTACGGTCCCAGGAAACATTTTTCTTACATAGGAACAACGTCAAGAAACTGAGGGTGAAGTGTTCATATTGAAAGGGTTATCAGGTTATGTCTACCCTCATAGCCAGATTTCAAAACTAGTGGAAAGGCCAGAGGATATTTGAGTAACAGACTCCTAGATTTCTCCTAAGATTTCTATTCTAATGATACTCTTATTAATTAGTAGGTTTTTAGTTTCAAGCAATAGAAAGACAGTTTAAAGTGGCACAAACAATAAAGGGAATTTATTGGCCCATACAATCAAAAAGTCCAAAGGGAATGGCTTCAGGTAAAGCTTGATCTAGCAGCTCAAGGAAATGCCCTCAAATTATGTTTTTCTTTCTAGTTCTTATCCCTACTTCCTCAATAGTGGTGCCATGCTGATACACAGTGCTCACGTGGTGGGCCCTGGTGGCTTCTAGCAACTCCTAAGACTGCAGCTTCTCAGTTCAAGTACAGAGGAAAAAAGAGAATCTGCTTCTTGATATCTCAAAAACAAGTTCTGGAGTAGAGTCTCATTGACATTAATTGTCCAGATTTGAACCAGATGTCTGTTCTAGAACTGGTGTGTGTGTGGTGTGGGGGGGTGTCAATATGCAGATGGGTGTTAGTCATCACAACACAATGCATGGCTGGTTGGGAAGGTTATTAACTGGAAGGGGGAACTAGACATTGGGTGCTGGAGAAGGAACTAACAAAATATCTGCAGCAGCCACTAAACACTCTCTGGAAGCTAAAAACAGGAAGAGCAGAAAGGCATTTTCTTATATTGTTCAAATAAAGCCAGCCTGAGGCTATTGCCCCAATGTTCACTTTTGAGCTTCTGTCTTTCCCAACAGATCTGGCAATTCAGCAGCCTATTCTCCAAAATCAAGAGCTGGGAGTTTAATGAAGTCACCTCCATGTCTGAGCACTTGAAGGTCTGTCCTTTCAACATTGTAGAGCGCAAGACTGACCCAATTCTTTTGACTAGCATGTGTCAGCCCCATGAGCAGGCCCGAGAGAGCTTAGTCGCCACCTTTAGAGCCAGTCCACGAGGAAGACATGCCAACTAAAGATTCAGATGCCACATTCTTGGATTCCCCCTCAGAGTTACCGGAAGTAGGACAGAGTGTGGTTTTGAGGACTTCCTTCTGTAATCTGCATACGTGCTTATCTGAGTGTATTGGAACATGCAGTGTCCTTCAAAACCTGAGCTGTTGCACAAGGTCTAAGAAGTTCCTAAGCCCTGGCTTATACAGTTGTTATAGTGCCATATTGATGACTTATTTCCTTTCCTTTTTTTTTTTCTAAAATAAATCAGTCTGTGGAGAAAATAGGTAACTTGAGGCCATCTGGAAGATGAACCCATGTCCTTAGGAGATGAGAGAGCAATGAATTCCATAATCAGCATAGCCCTGTGCTTTTGTGGGGGGCTTTTTAGTTTACAAGTACGTTCAGATTTGTGGGGCAGGTAATGCAGGGATGCAGACTGAAGTGCCTCCCAGGGCAGTTTGAGGGTCTTGACAGTCAAATCTAGGGCTTTTTTTTAAGTTGCCCCACTGCCTCTAAGCCCAGACAGTCTGAACACAGCCCAACAAAGTAGAGACCTTGGCTGAGCACAGTGGCCTTGAGGACACCACATACCAACGGATGAGAGACAGAAATGAGGTTACAGAGTTTGTTGCATAGAATCTTGGCAACATGTAGGACAACCTTCAAAAATGAAGAAGATTCTGAAGAAAATTCTATATTATGGATAAAATTAGGACAAAAGACCTTAAGCCTACATTTAAACATTTTAATAATGACTTAAGAGTCAAGGTTCTTTTCTTCTGAAAATTATATTGTATGTCTAGATTAGGGAGAGCACAGGTATAGCCCACCTGTGCTACCTGAAATGACCTCAGGGCGCTAATACCAACTTCAGTGTCATGCAGGAATGCAGAGATTAGCCCAAGGAGACAAGGCTCACTGCATGTTCAGGGGCACCAGTCACAGGCCCTAGATACCACTTGAGTACCCCATGGGGGATCTTGGGAAGAAAGATATGTAAACATGGTGGTTCCCTATAATTGCTCCTATCTACTCTTGCTCATGAGTCCAGTCTGTCAAAAATGGGTGATACTGCTAGGATTTGGTAACAGTGAATACTCATGAGAACAAAAGTGAAAGAAAAATACATAATAGGAACTGACTTCCCCTAAAGCAGGGTTTCTCAGAACTGTTGACATTGTGCACCGAATAATTCTTTGTCATAAAGGATTGTCCTGTGTGTTATAGGATATTTTGTAGCATCCTTAGCCTCTATCCATAGATGCCAGTAGCACCCCCACAGCTGCAACAACCAAAAATGTCTTCAGGCATTGCTAAATATCCTCTGAGAGCAAAATTGCCCCTGGTTGAGAACCACTTCCCTAAAGGAGAACATTCTGGTGGCAATAAGACAAGCTTTTTAGTACAGCAAACTCTTAGCTCACATAGTTATCTACAATGGTTATGATTTCATCAACAATTCTTTATTGAATACATAGGTCTCAGACACATGGTGATTTTAGGTTGGGAACCAGATGGAGCTGATTTGCTTGGTGTGGCTTCAGGCCCTTGGGTCACATGTACAAACATATCCTTTCAGCTCTCTCCAGGTGTAACTAAAGCCAGGAAAGTTGCTATTTATCTTGTGTTTACAGCCCTCTCACCTTAGTTGGTGCCATTTCCCCAGCAATCCTAGCAGTCCTCAAGCAAGTGAGACAGAAAGGAAAAGGAAGACAGGCATTGTAGGGAAGATGAAAACAAAGAATTGAGACTCCCCCCTCCCCCCAAAAAAAATCTAGTTGCTCTGAACGCTTGTTATCTCCCGGACCTCTCTCTGAACGTGGTCTGGAGCTAATGTAGATGAAGTTGATGACACCTCCGAGAAGAGTCAAGAAGGCATGGGAGCAAGTTCCGGAATAGAAGGATGCTTATCTTTTCATTATAATATGCCACTTGGTACTGTAACTCTACTTTTCCTCAGCCCTATCCTTATTGTTTGGTTCATATTTCACATTTGTATATAAGGCACCATTTTCTAAACCTATCACTAGAGTGTAAGCTAAGATTTTATTATTCAGTGAAGATGAGTGACTGGAAATAACTAAACACTGAAATGGGGGAAAAAGGGAGAGTTCTCCAGGTTATCAGTCAGTTCCATGTGTTTTGAATCTGGCCCTTCCTTTATAGAGAAAGAAAGCCCCAAAGTTCATACTGGGTTTCTTATTTTTACTAGAAAAAGAGAGAAAGGGGAGCCATAGGCCAAGGGAGATGAAAATCAGGGGCTCCTGTTAGATGGGTGAGAACTATAGAGAAAGCAAGAGAGCAGAGGGCTTTCCCTTCACAATCTGGGTGGCTGGGGGCAGGCTAGGGTTCAGGAGAGTGATCAGGAGAGTGCCACACTGCTCTGTGGGCTGCGTATCTCCAGTCACATTCTACTTTCCCAGTTGCTGCCTTCAGAACAATATTGAATTGATCAACATCATCAAACACATTTTATAAGATATCTAATTGTAGATGTTGCAGAAAAGCAGGGTACTGCAGTTTATCTCACTGGTCTACACAGACAAGCACATTTGATGGTGAGAAGGCAGCTGGAATGAAAGGGAAACCTTTTGGGGAGACTGGATTAGACAGAAGATGATTTGGTTAGTGAGATAAGGCTGGAGTGAGCAGCATGAGCAATAAGCATTATCTGACAGAGGCGAGACAGCTAGACACGGCTTCAGGTTAAGAAGCAGCTGAGGGGCGTGAAGAGGGACTGTGTATCCAGGAATTGGAGCCTGGATGGAGAGTTGACTATGAGTATTGCCACCAAGATAGTCAGCCCAGAGTAGAAATCAGCCAAACTTGGAAGGTAAGGTCTGTAGAACTGAAGAAGAAAAGGATCTTTTTGCCTTACTAGCACAGGGATCTGGAAAAGAAGTTTCTGTCTTATAATAAAGGGAAAAGTCAAAAGTAAGGCGGGACTTAGAGATCTAACTGGAAAACCACTGTGAAATTCTGATCTCTGTGTGATGTCAAATAAAACTGAAGTGAAGAATGAGATTCTGTATGTCTTTGATGACTTACCTCTGTATACTGGAAATCCCAATGTCTCTATCAGCAGAAATAAAAGCTCGTTTGCACTCTGAAAAGCTGAGTGAATCTTGTAAGTTAGGTCCAGAGACAGATTTGTGATTGATTCACTGGCATAGAAGACATTGTGTGTGTCTTGAAGAAAAGCCAAGGAACAAACCTGTGGGACACAGTGCTCTAGGCAAGCGGGCAGCTCACAACTTTATGCAGCCCTGGAGCACCTATGAGTCTCAGTCACTAATCCTAGCTCCTTGAGTCCATCTTTGTCTCCTCCATCTTTGAAAGCTGGACCCAACTTCAGCACAGATTTCTATGTCTTACCAACCAAAGATTCCCTACACCAATCCAATCCCTGACTTTGATTTAGATTTTATTTTAATTAGGCCTAAGAGCTCCCATCTCTGACCTATGGAGCCCAATGGCCTGAGCCAGGATAAACCCACCATGCCCTGGCCTCTCATTCTTCATCCCCATGCTTAGCTTGTTGATTCACCTTCTGTCCTGAACTGGCCGTCCAAACATCCTCACCATTTTTCCTATCAGCCTTGACCCTGGACCACACAGAAGCTTCATGGGCTCCTTCCATCTACCCTCTTACTTGGCCATTGATTTCAGTCATCCAGCTACAAAGAAGCTTGGACTTGACTGAGTAGTGGCCAATCAAGTAGTGTCTCTGACTAAATCCTCTTAACACCTCATTGGAGCCTTCGTTCCTTTAGCTTTCGTCTTTTTTTGTTGCCAAATCTCCCTTTTCCTCCTTCCTAACCCCTAATTTGTGCTTCTTCTTCAAGAATCTTCGTGTCCTAAAAGAATGTAGTCATTACTAGGCAGAAGGTGGCTGGCCTCTCACAGCTGCTGAAGCCAGTAGAAGTAGACACTACCTGGCCTGTTCCCCTACTTTACCACCATTCCCCAGGCTGATCTGTTTTTGACTGGGTTTAAGTACAGCCTAAGGACAAGGTCCAGCCCTTGCCATCCAGGGCACAGGGGTGGTGAGCAGTGGCAGGAGGGGGTCTTCTGGATATGCCTGAAAGAGGGGAGGAGAATTGGAGCCATGAGAGGCAGGGCTCTTGAGGCTGCACCAAAAGCAGTATTCACCTCAGCCTAGTCGTGAAACATAATCCCAATTTATTTCCAATTATAAGACTGGGTAGAGAAAAGATATCTCTGCAGGGAAGGAAAGTGGGCAGACAGCACCACCACGTAAACCAGGCAATTTAGACATACTTTTTCAGGTAAGCAAATCGGGACGCTCAGAGCTAAAAAAAAAACCAAAAAAACAAAACCAGAAGGCAGAACTTGGGGTGTTAGAGGGAGCATTCACGGGCAAGGAGGCAGGACCACAAGATCATGTCTACGAGCTCATTCAGGATAGAGCGGACACTGAAGAAGAGCCCCTTCCTCATGGTGTCTCTGCCCCAAGCCTTAAGGGACAGGGAGAGGAAGTCTGTTTAGAACCGCAGGTAACTCATGACATGCTATTGGAAACTTGCAGCAAAATGAGGAGGGGGGTGGAGGTAGAGCCACTTTGGACATGGGACGTCACAGTGCAGAATACAGTGAGGGCCGTTTACTGGATAAGGTTGACATAATTTGCAGGAAAGAGTCCAAAGCGGTCGTGGCAACGTCCCCGCCACCAGCCTTCATCCACCATCTCAATGTCAGTGATGATGTCATCTGGATCGAAGGAAAGCTCATCACTTCCCTCTGGAGAGAAAATCGATGGGATATTAGGATTGTCAGACAGGAATCCCTCCATCCCTGTGCCCACTCTAAACCTCAGGAAGGGAAATAGGCCTGGTCTTCTTGATGCCAAGCCTGGACCCTTCCCTGACCCCCATCTCTTGTATCAAGGACCTTTAGGCACCCGACCCCTCAGACCACTCCCAACCTACCTCCTTGATAATCATACAGGGCTACAGCTGAGAGCCCAGCTCCAGTCCCAGCTGGGCAGCCTGATGATCCTGCATTAGGAAAAGCATAAATATGGCATCACCCACACACAGAAGGAAACCAACAAGTTTTTCTGAGTAATGGGGTCATTCCTCTTCCTCTTACCCTCCCCTAGACCTGACGAAAACAGGAGCTGCTTCTCCTCTGCCCCCCACCACTCACCAGCCAAAGTGGAGGGATTCTCAGGCTCGAGCACATCCTCGTAGTCTCCCTCTTGTTCATCATCCTGCCCATATTTGTCCATCTCCCCAACATCCTCATAGTCATTCTCAGGCTCAGGCTCAGGCTCTGCTTCATACACTGGCTCTTCTTCCTCCAGCTGGAGGCCTTCCAGGGTCCTGGGGGGCAGGGCTGGGGGCTCCTCATCATCCTGGGAAGAGAGCGTGGAGCAGGATGAGTCGCACTCCCCAGGAGCCGTCTCTCCAAAAACTCCCAATGGAGGACTGCTAAGGCCCCACCCATCACCATCCTACCACTTCTACCCTCCATTCTTGCTTCCATCTAACAGCCTCTCCTAGGGAACACAATCATTCATCCATCTTCATTCCTCAACCTCCTCCCACACCTACCCACTCAAAACACCTACCAAGAGATGATAGAAAGGGAATGCAAAACATGTGAAGAAAGAGAAAGTGGAAGGCAAGTCAGATTCCTTGGAAGACCAAAAAAACAAAAGCACATTTTTGAAGCAAAAGCACATAGTTGGAAATAGCACAGCTAGGATGACCAATTCTGCTAGGCTGCCCGGGACTGGGTGGTTTCCCAGAATGCAGGACTTTCAGTGCTAAGAACGGGACAGTCCCAGACAAATCAGGATGGTTGGTTACACTGTATGGCCCACCTTCCTAGGACATGAGGAGATAGGGAAGGGGCACAGAGTCTTTGGGGCTCTGCTTACCTCTGGGGGTTTCTGCCTTGAGGGCAGGGAGGGTACTGGGTATTCCCTGCTGGTTCTCACAGGCTCGGGCTCTGATGATGGACAACTTCCTGCTGGAGGCCAGGCCTGTGGAGAATGAAGCATCACTCTATAAGCAAGCAAGCCTCCATCTTATCTCTTACAGTGACCTGGAACACCCCCTCTACCTCTGCCAATCCAAATCAAACTCATCCCTCAAGATGGGCACCAACCTGAAGTGGCGGCTCCTTCCTCTTAGTGAATTCTACAGCAATGATCGGCTGCACTGGCTGGTTACCTATCTTCTGTCATACTGTGTAAATCTCTTTTTTCTCCCTAACGTTCTGGTATATATGAGGCCCACACTCAACTTACACACTCAAACTGAAATCTTACTGAAGACAGGGACAGCACTGATATAGATTTTGCTTAACATAAGGAAGCCTGTGCCTTATTTTCTACTAATAATTTGAACAATTTAGACTCCTGTCTGGGGAAGGAATGTTGTATGTGGATCCCAGGGCTCCAAGCGCTCACCTCTGAGGAGATTTTCTTAGGCAATGGGGTTGGCACCACTGGCTCTTCCATGGTGGCTGCTGGTTGCGGAGCCTCATGGCTCATCTTTACCAGGGCCTTTCTCTCCTGTTGCTGCCTGGCCATCTGCTGTGCCTTCTCTTCTTCCTCCTGCTTCTTCTTCTCCTCAGCCATGGACTCGAATTTTGCCTTCAGCCCACGGGCACCACTAGAAGCTATAGACACAGGCAAGAAGAATTAGGGTTCTCTTGGGTCTAGGAAAGGGGCAGGATTGAAGGAAGAAGAAGACTCAGTTAAATATCCAGGAGAAGAGCAGATGGAAATGAGACTCATGGAAGGAAAGATAAACAGGTATTGATGCAGGAACAAGGGGATTATAGGAGGATTGTGTAGTCTTGAAGTCTAGATTTCCATATAGCCAGGCCATGCGATCTCAGACTCTTGTCCTTTCTAAATCATAAGTCATTGTCCTCTAACTTGCATCCTTCCTTGTACACATTCCTTAAATATGTATGCCCTCTAACCACCACCCACCGCCTACTTCTCATCCCAAGCCCTTAGCCCTATGTATTCTTCCCAAACGGCTCCCCATCCCTCCTGCTCTGTGTCCTCTGCTCACAGTTCCTTTCCCACTGTCACTCTGTCTCTTTATCCACTTAACCTAATTTTTCTAGGACAGAGGATCTGGGAATATAAGGACAGGAGTCAAATCTACCTCAGCTAATCTAGGTAGCTAAAAGCATGGAGGAGGTAGTCTAGGGAGAAGAAAGAATGAGAAGGGAGAAGCAGTTAATGAGCATAAAGAGAGGGAATTGTTAAGACTCACCAGCCTCTATGGGGGTCGTCTTCTTATAAGCTGTGGTTGGGGCCTCCATTTCATTGAAGCCAACAGCACTCTGCAGGAGAACAGTAGATGTGTGGGGAGGTGGTGGTGGTGGTGGTAAGGGAGTGGTAGTGACTCAGAAAGCAGTACTGGGGATTGGGGCCACTGTAGGAAGTATACCTAACCATTTGCTCTTCAATAGTTGGACAGGGCATTCCAATATTGTTGTTTTATGGCAGAGAGGGGTAAAGCAGTTCTAAACTGGTGGTCTCAGCTCCCCTTTTTGAAAGTGCAGTGTACCTAGAATCTCATGTCTCCAAGTCCAGTTGCCTGGAATGCAGCAGGGCCCCTGGGCAATGCATGAAGAGGAATTGGTATAGAGGAGAGCAGTGACATGGCGTGGGAAGGGACTAAAGATAGGGTTAAATGATGCCAAGCAATCAATGAAATTTTACATATCACCTTTCCCTGGAGTTTTTGTGTCTCTCTGTCTCTCTCTGCCTCCCTTAAGTTTCCTGAGTTAAAGCTCAGGCTTTAGAAAACATGCCTATTAGATGCTGAGGGCAGTCAAGGGGGAATGCAGGACACCGGGAGAACAGCTCAGTACACCTAGCCTTTCCTATCCTTTTTCCGTCTTTACCTATCACTCTTGTCCATGCACGTCCAGTACAACTTAGGAAACTATTCTCGAGAAATTGGTATTCTGGTACTTTACCTTATCCACTCGGTCTTTCTGGATTCCATACTGACCACCAAAGCCCTTGG